GTGTATACAGTATACCCTTTGAGAACCAACAATTAGGTATTGAGAAAGAGTATATCGGAGTAACCAGAAGAAACCTGAAAGTACGACTAAAGGAGCACAAATATAGTATAAATAAAAAACTGAATAGTACGATATTAGCAAGTATGGCACAGGCAGACGGATCAGTAGTCAAATGGGATGAAGCCAAGATTGTTAGGACGGGACACTCACCTTCCATCGCAATGGAAATGGAGAAAATAGAGATTTACAGAAGTAAGATGAGGGACAGATGCCTAAATGCAAAAGATGCAAAAGCATTACCAACGGCTTGGAAATATAAAATTGAGAAAAATATGGGTTTTAATAATCCATAAACATTTTCATGTTCTGGAGTTTTTAGTATTTCAAACTCAAAGTTATAAATTTTCTTTTATTTTATTGTTAAATTGAAACGCGATTTTTAGATTACATTTTATCATATATTTAGTTTAATTTATTTATTATACATAAAAGTTGTAATAAGTTCAAATTCAAACGAATTTCGAACGAATGATTCCATTACAACGAAAACTATTAAAACCTGAAGATGGCCTATACGAATTGGCCGAAAACGTTTGGAATAAACAAAAATAACTCGGCAAAAAAATTCAGGTGTGTGTGATTTATTATTATAAATAGATAACATTGCTGAGAAGGTAGATAGATTAAATTAACTAGGTTAAAAGATAAGAATATAAACATATATACTTGTAGTAAATTTTAAAATGTACAGAAGTTTTTGATAACATTCAGTGATCATCATCAATTATACTAGCACTATGACAGCTTTTCCTTTTTCACTAGACTTTTTCGTTAAAACTAAGCTTGTTATTTCTGTGAATCATTCCATAGTTTATGATTCTAAGGTAAAAAATTTTTTATTCTTATTATTTTAACGGTGCACTTGTTTTACTTCATCGTTCTATTTTATTACTTTAATAGATTTACAGTATACAATGTCACGGTTTTAAATTTTATAGTTTTAACTGTACTTTACTATGTATATTGTTTGCCTTACAACGTTATGTATCAAACCATTGTATTTGCTCAAATACCTGTTAATAATCAACATCCATATTGTATCCATTGTCACAATTTCCTGTACTTTTCATAATCATTTATATCACATGGAGTTGAAAAGGGACTGAATGTCCAAAATGCATACTCCTCAGGGAAATAAAGATACGATTTTCTAAAGTTTGTCCTCTTTCTGGCTGATGGTCTAGTAAGTCTAGCAAAAAAGGAAAAGCCATCATAGTGCCAGGATAACTGAACACAAGACTAGACAAGAAGCATATTACAGTGATTATCATTACATAAACTCTTTAATTTCAATTTATACAATTCAAATAATATTTGTTGGTATGTAAGTTGATTATTCTTATGCAACTGAAATAATATGACAAACACTTTAGAATTTAATAAGATTAACTGAGTTACAGAGAGAAATTTTGAATTCATAATCAAAAATCTATTTCTGCAAAATAATTGTAATGTATTTAATTTCAAAATTATTTCTTAATCATCAAACTTTTGTTATAAAATTTCAAACAACAGTTAAATGAAAAGGCGAGTGCAGAGTGGGAATCTTATATTTTATTTTTTATTACAAAGAAAAATACAGTAGAGCGTCGATTATCCGAATCAATTGGGGACTGGGGTTGTTCAGAAGAGCGATGTTTCAGATAACTGATTATGTACAAAAAAATATATTAATTTATCCCATCTCGACATTTTTCTCCGTTGCGTGTCGTTCGCGTTGAATTTTCGTCGATGTTAAGCCTAACGAAGACTATTGTATCGTTAAAAATTATTTTTTTTATTTTGTACAAACAAAATAAATATATTGAAAAATATAAAAACAATAAAAAATTATACTTCAGAAGTTAATTTAGTATCAAAAACGTAAAATATTTGAGTAGCCCAAGACATAGCCAAAGATTGCAGCGCCACAGCACTGGCGAAAATTTAAATTTGCCTAATGGAATTCTTTCGGATGATTGATGTTTCGGATAATCGACGCTCTACTGTACTTTTGTTAATAATATTTTTGTTTTATTAATATTTTTAGTAAACAACTATTTTTTGATATCTAAAATTCTAAAGTAACTAAAACTATTTAAACATAACACAGATCAGAATGATAAAAACATAAGAGAGATAACAACAAATACTGAATTAGTTTAGAAAAAATAAATAGTTTATTCCACAACTACTAATTTAAAAAAATAAATAAATAATGAACAATAGTATAACAAAACTTCTTTACCTGGCGTACTGTATACTGGACAACTTTATCTAAAGTAAAAGCTATATAGGCATGAATACCAAATAATTCTCTTAATGTATCTTCATACTGATTACTATCCATATTTCCATCCAAAAGATTTTTAACCATATCTAAAAATACTGTATAATATTCTTCAGCATCAATCTCACCTACAAAATAGAAATACTAATTACCATCAGATCAAAAGATCATTGATTTAAACAAAATTTACATGAAAAACTTCTTTAGTACTGTACTAGTATATAATCATAAAGTTAATAAATTTTTGAGAACTGTTTGCTTGTACTCAAGGCAAATGATTTGTAAATTTAAGGAAATTTACAAATCATTGCCATCAAATCATAAAACTTATCCAAGTATTATTTGTTCATTAAATGATTTGTAAATTTAAGGAAATTTACAAATCATTTAATGAACAAATAATACTTGGATAAGTTTTATAAATGTAAGCCATGATATAAATTTTATTCTCTATAATTTTATAAAAATTTAATTATTTAAATTATAAATTTTAAGAATTTAAAATCAAGCCTTTAAAATGTCAAATTCTTAAAAATAATATTCAAATTAAGATTTATTATTATTTTGTGATTAAAATGTCAGTTATCTTCTAAAATGTAACTTGCCATTTTTAGTATACAGAAAAACTCAAATATTAATAGTCTCAGTTACAAAGTACTTTCTTGCATTTTTTCTATTGTTTACCACTTATTGTTTTTCCTATGCCATATTCCATTTATTATATTCCATGACAGTTCACAGTGATACACTGACAAATTATGCTACAATTTGTGACAATTCAATTCTCCAAAAGTAGCAGTTTTTATGATTATCACTAATATTGCATGCTTCACTATTATGATCACCTGATGTAATCTATTGAGAACAAATACAACAGAAAACAATTTAACAATATCAAAGCTCATGTAATTAGTTATCAATATTGTATATGTTTATTTGTACAAACTATGAACTATACAATTTTTAGAATAATACCTTTTCTAACATTTTGAAGAGTAATTATAATCATCATCATAAACCAAAACTGTATGTTTATTTTTTCTATCATATATTTTTTAAAACCACTGAAATCTTACTTTTTGGTTTAAGCCTGAGAGTAACTGCAACTGATTCTTTTCTATCTTTCTTTTCTTTTTGATCTTCTTCAACTAAAACTGTTGCTCGTTCATACATCTTTGTTAATCGTTCACAAAGAATATGATGGAGACGGAAGTACAGATACCAATTATTGTTGATAAAAAATAATGCATATGTATCATCCTATTAAAAATATACATTTCTTGAAATATGAAAACATAACACATTAATAAATAAAACATTATGTTTTATGTATTTATTAATAATTTTATTTATTAAATACACAAAACATTAATAAATAAAATTATTATAAACCACTGAATATAACTTTTAAACTATCATTATATTATATATGAAAATAACTTACAGGAATGGAATTCTGGTGATGAGTAATTCGTTCTTTTTTTTCTAAACAAATTCTTTCCTTCATATCTGTAGATTTTTCAATAATTTCCTTATGAAAGGAGTTTGCTACACTGGTAGATTTTGTTGCATTTTCCATATTACAATTTCCAGTCAAATCTACACCATTTTTACAAGCTGATAATAGAACAGAAGACTTTTCATCCGTTTCTACAATGAAAATGTGTAACAAATATTTTAACAAAACAAAATAGCAAAAAAAATTTATCTATTAGATATCCAAAATAACAGTGACACACATACACAAACTTTAAACTGAATGCATTATATATGTGAATTGGAATATTTTTGTTTATTAAAAGTTTAAGGAAGCTAATCTTGTTTTGAAACAAGTTTAATTTTTCCTAAACTTGTTTTTAATTTTTTTTGCATGAAACTTATTGAAATTAATCTAAAAATATAAGTATTGAATTTTTAAATTCAATTAAAAGTATTATTATTTTCAAAAGAATTTTTCTACTCACATCAATAGTTCCCTAAAGAATTTTAAATATCTAAAGCAAAGAATAATTTTGTAGAATAAATATATCATTGCATTTTGTATAAATCATCATTCACAAAACAAAATTTAGCTAAAAGTACAGTACAATAAGTATAACAGAAGATGAATTATTAAATTGTATATTTTTCAGAGTGAATCAGTTACAGTATAATTTTGTATTGTAAATTATTTTTTTAAATGTATCATCAAAATTTATTTTTGCACAAAATTATATTTTTCATATGATACATTCAACATTCAATAAAGAAACCAACAATATTTGAGCATTTTCCTAAAAATAAAATTATCTTTTGTTCCAATTCACATGCTCAATCATCATATTCTACATTTTTAGATTATTTCCATAATAGTAAACAGTTAAAAGATTAATTATAAGAGAGAAGATAGTAAAAACACACAATTATATAAAATAATATGTTACCTTCTTTTTCAATTTCATCATCAGATAATTCACCTCGAGGTACACAGAAGAAATCTGGAATGAACTGCCTTAGCAACTGCTTTATTTTTTGTTTTTCTTCTTTATGAATACCTTGAAATTAAATGAGAATTATTTTTATATTATATTAAACATTAATGTAACATAATAATAATATCAATTAATATTAAATTTTTCATAATCATTTTAATGCTGTTCAATGAAGAAAAACGTTAATTATGTCTAATTTCATTTTTCCCTAACACAATATGTCAGAATAATCCATTAGTTGCCCACAATTTCATATATCACGAGATTCTGTAGCTCCTAACTATAAATAAACCTGATAAAATAAATAATTATGAACTGTCAAGAGAACTGAAATTTGTATTGATTCTTTATCTTCTAATATCAATGGCTTTTTCAGGACTGAATAATGAATACAAGACATAACTAACATATCTTTTTGAAACAAATAAAATAATAATAAAATATAATGTTTTATAATAAGTTATGCTATAATGTATTTTTAAAACATAATATTTTAAAAACAAAAAATTACCATCAGATATGATCTGTCTGAAAGAAAATTACAATGTTGCTGATTCTCTTCAACATATTATGAACAATAGCTTTTTCTCCCTATTGCTAAATCAGGATATTTGTTGTAGTATATATCTTTTCTGGGCATTCTTGAAGTTTCTAAAAAAATTTTTTCAGAGTTATTTCAACTATCAGTTAATATCCCAATGGACATTAACAGATTATAACAGATAGTTGAATTCACTTCCCTTTCATATGCATACTTGATGGCTTTGGTTATGACAAGTTGTTTCTCATAGTTATCATATTACTGTTAAAATCTCTCTTTTCTGTTATAAAACTATTCCCTTATTTTATTTATTATTTTCAACATAATTCCAAATTTTCTTCACAGTTTTTTGTTATGATTATTATTATTATTATTATCTTATCTTTTTAAATAAGTTTTTAGCTTGATACTACATTTCAGAAATCCATTGATAACTATAAAAATAATGAAATTTATTGAATTTCTAATAACAATTTAGTTTATAATTAACCATAAAAACAATTTAATTTCTCCTGAATAATTTTTATGCTTACTCCAAAATTTATATGAATCTATATGTTACACTTTCTTTTTTCCCCTCATTAAAAGAATTTAATATCCATACATTAATAGTCATCATAAATTTTATAGTGTCATTTCAAGGAAGAATTTTATATATTTCTTTAAGATTATTTATTTTTATAGAATGTAATGTTTTATAACGTTATATTTTCTTTTGAACATAAAAATATATTATAAGGTAGAAATATGTGCTAAGTCTTAGTAACATACTATCAGAGGGGAAAAAATAAAAAAAATGATATTATTATATATGAATGAAAATATTAGTTTACAGTAAAACTATATTTTGTTGGATTTTAGTATTGTAGAGTGTTAATTTAGAATATATAAATAACATTTATTTGTTTATAATATAAGTAAATATGGTAATTATTACCATATTTACTTGAAATATAACCTCAAAAATTTATTTGCACTTTTTAATAAACTATTTAAATCACATCAATGGTTCACAGATTGAAATAAAATTAATCAGAAATAAATGTTGCGATAGAAATACTTTCTCTAAAATTTCCGAGAGGCATTCATGTAAAATTTTTATTATGTCTGCATATATCATAAAATAAATGCCTCACAAAAAAATTTGATTCAGATGCCATATTTACAAAAGAGCTAAAAATTCAATTATTATTATTATTATGTTGGGTTTTGTGAGTTATACTCGGTTCACACCGGTGGCTGTGTACTATGCCAGACAAGAGTCAAGGCATAGCAACCAAAACAAAACTAAAATTAAATAAGTGTGTCAGTGTGTGTGTCTGTATTCAGGAATTTCCTAACAATGTGGCATGTATTCAATATAGTGGCCTTCTGTAGTGTGATGTATGTATTTCTACTCAATTGTAATGTTCCCAGGCTTTTGTGTAGTGTGTGTGGTATCACACCTGTACAGGAGAGAACAACAGGTACAATAAGCACCCT